CAAGTAACTTATTGTGCGGTGGTTTAAATTGTCGACCAACAACGCCCAAGCATTCCCACGCGCATCTCTAACGTGAATTTAGTATAGTTACCCGGGTATAAACAAGCTAACACGCATTTGAGGTTATAAATTCACGCGGCAAATACAATTTTAACGGTTTTTTATTGTGTACAAAGAAGTAAGTCGCAAAGGTAAGCACAAATTTATTATTTATTAACATTGATAGCTTAGATGTACTGGCAGAGGTATACTTGACATTATTATCTTCGTAAAAGTGTTGATTTTTATTTTTTGTGTCCAGGTTTTTTGTATATGTTGTGGTATGGTAATTGTACCACCGCCCCATAACACAAAAAATATTGAATCAGTTTCCATACTAAAAAAAATAAATATCTTCAGGTAAGATGGAAGACCTACTATTTAAATTACGCGGAATGACATACAGAGAGCCAAAGGAGGAATTTGAAGATGTAGGTATTCCATCTGATCCAGAATTAATTGTTGATAACTCCGAGGATGAAGCAGACGAAACTGAGAATGACATGATTCTAATGGAACCCGAACCATACAGCGACTCAGAAGATGATCTACCTCTTCCAGTTTTAAGGTCCAAATTAAAGCCATCGTCACCTCTCCCCAAAGTCGTGATTGGTCAAGGCTTTCGTGTCCCCAGAAACCAGCTGATTTTATTGACGACCAAATACTAACTATCGCAATAAAAAAAATCATTTGTTTCTCCAGACATACACACAAGTGAAAGTGGACATCAACCAAAAAGGAACACATGGATGTCTATTCTCGAAACCGGGGAGCAGCGTTCCCATGAGAACGATTGCTCTGTCTTTGTCAGTGTTATGAAAATATGAATATGGGCGACGGAGACAGAACCTTCGCTCTCATCAGGAGAACGCTGCTCCCCTTTTTCGAGAAAAAGGACCCAGGCATCGCTGTGCGCTTTTTAACACCTCATAAAAACAAATTAGGACCGACAGGGTATTGTTCGTCGATTTTAATCTGATACTCGGACGGAATGTGAGCTGGTAACTCCCTACATAAGAACGCCAATGGTTACCTGACGTCACACCTGTTTTTGCCATATGAACACCCCCTCGCTCCTCATACCGCAAGTATCAGTTAAAAATCGACGAACAATATGTTCCATATGCGATGTACTTCTTTGCCTCGGAAAAAACAAAACATGTCTTCAAAATTACCACCTACCAATTAATTAAAAACATTTCGTTCTTCTTGGTTTGTGCGCAGTGGTACAAAAATTGAACCACATATTTTTTTACAAAAATTTGGAATTTTTTGATGTTTTTTTGAGTTTTTATATTTTTAGGACTCGTATTTTATTCATTGTATACCAGAAACTACAAATAAACGGTTTTTGAGTGGGTGCCCCTCTAGGACTTTTTTTTGCCTAAATATCCTGCCCCTGAAAGAGTTAATTGAAGACTCTTGACATTTTGAAGTCTCTGAAGACAATTTTTTTTTTTCAAATATTTTGAAATAAGAACTTTACTGAGCTAAGAGCTAGGAAGACTTTAAAGACCATAGCTTTGGAGACCAATGCAAGATTCTAATGCACTTGATTTAAAGCCTTGAAACTAGGAAGAATCCTCATACTTTTAACACCTTAGGGATTTTGAGGCTCATGACTGAAAACTCTGGGGATTTTGAAGTCTCTGAAGACTCATTTTTCAAAATATTTTGAAATAAGGACTTTACTGAGCTTAAATCAGAAGATGCCAAAGATGTCGGCGTCTTGATCAATTATTCTAGGGCCTTTGCAGATTGAAGATTCTGAAAATCCTGAAGGTTTCGAAATGTCTTAAGGATAAAGACTCTCAAGACCATAGCTTTGGAGACCAGTGCAAGATTCTAAGGCACTTGATCTAAAGCCTTGGAACTTGGAAGAATGCTAATACTACAGAATACTACGTACGAAATAACAATATTTAGTCAAAAATAATAATATTTTTCAATTTTTCGCTAACAAATCCTTCCGACAATCTATCGAAAAAATAAAAACCATATCATTTGAGAGTTCTAGGTTATTTTGCAGTAGAATTAATAACGTTTAGTGAATTCTATGATATTTAGTTAAGTTTCGTTTAGGATTAAGTTTATTTGTTCTCTACGTTTTATGTTAGAAAATCGAAAATTACCAATTTTCAGGTTCGGTAACCTATTTTTTGCGAGGCTCTTTAGGGCGCGAGGCCGTCGGCAGTCGCCGACGCCTAGCTACGCCACTGGGTAACTATGAGCTATTCTTTTATGTGAAAATTATCCATTGCAACGATCACATACCCATTAATATTGCCGGCTTTCCTACTATTATTGTTTAATTAAAGAATCGCTAATTTCAAGAGTAAAACGAAATACCATAAAATGGTCATATTTCCATAGCAACGCAATGTATCGAAAAAATGGCAAAGACGTCTCGAGGTGTTGACCTAGTGATCGAGTCACCACTAGAAAGAATTTTATTGGACCCTCCATCTTTCCCACATTCTTCGCCAAAAAAATGGAAATTTCTGAGGAAATTTTTCGCCGCCTTACATTCACACCCTGTATAACGAGAAGGAACGCATAGACCAAAGATGGCGCTTTGTAACCCTGCCTGATAATCCAAGATCGGCAAAGAAATGTTGAAGTTATAGCAAGTCAAAGTTAGGCAATATTTCGGGTGTCTCACTTCACTGCCGCTAACCGTGCGTTCGGTAATTTGATCTGAGTTCTCCGAGCCTGGATATACGTTCGTTTATTTAAAAAGTGTACTCGGTGCAGGCTCATTCCCGTTCGTTTATTGAAATTTCGGGCGCTCTGACACAGCGTTTAACTGCTCTGTGCGCTCGCTGGTCACGTGATTACGGCTCCGCTCAGCATGCTCTGCTCTCTGAGCAAAATACCGAACGCAAGGTAAGTTTAGTTAATTATAAAGATTTGTTTTTTAATTTTTTTCTCGATAAGGGTCGGTAATTCGAAAAAACTACAAGAGAACAAAAAGTTTCTAAATGAGGTAGAAAAATCATTTAGTTCTTTAGGATCTACCAGCGGCGCACCGCAAAAAAGTTCAGGGGCAGAAAAGGGCATATGACCCATGCAAAAACATCACCCTGTGAATTCTGGCAAACGTTTGAAATGTGCAATCATTTAGCTCCTATTGCGTCACCTATATTCCAAATTTCAGCTAAATCCCTCAAAAATTGCTGGTGCTATAAAGAAAAAACTAAAAAAATATTGAAATTTCAACACCCTGTAGATCGGTAACGAAGCGGTTGCGGACATATGTTTATCAAAAATTTTAGTATTAAAATAAACCAAAGAATCACCCCGTTCAGTTTGGACCGTGACTATGTACATAAGTCACGGTCCAAACAAAAAGGGGTGATTCTTTGGATTATTTTATGACTATAACTTCAAATAAACATAGGTCTTCAAACGCTTCGTTACCGATCTACAGGGTGATAAAATTTTAATGTATTCATATTGAAAATGAGCAAGAATATGGCGGCAAGGGCGTAGCTTACTTCTAGGTAGAAAAGGTATATTGAGTAACTGTAGTTTTATCTAGCTAATTACAAATATTTTTTTTTTAATTTTTTTCTCGATAAGGGTCGGTAATTGGAAAAAACTACAAGAGAACAAAAAGTTTCTAAATAAGGTAGAAAAATTATTTAGTTCTTTAGGACCAGCGGCGCACCGCAAAAAAGTTCAGGGGCAGAAAAGGGCATATGACCCCTGGAAAAACATCACCCTGTGAACTCTGGCAAACGTTTGAAATGTGCAATCATTTAGCTCCTATTGCGTCACCTATATTCCAAATTTCAGCTAAATCCCTCAAAAATTGCTGGTGCTATAAAGAAAAAACTAAAAAAATATTTAAATTTCAACACCCTGTAGATCGGTAACGAAGCGGTTGCGGACATATGTTTATTAAAAATTTCAGTCTTAAAATAAACCAAAAAATCACCCCGTTCAGTTTGGACTGTGACTTATGGGACACCCTGTATATAAAACACAACTTTTTATTTAGTTTTTACACTTTTCCGAACTTTCCCGCTCTCCGTTGTTTATATTTTTTTCTTCTAACCGCTCGACGTACCAAATCGCCGAAGCGGTTAGAGGCATGACATACCGTTTTCTAATCCGGGCTGGGATCACGACAAGTGGAATTCTACTTTTATGACATCACGTGAAAAGGGCTTTTGATCCATCGAATTTGACGGAGCAAGAAAGAAAGCTCCGCGCGAGATTTGAGATCGATCGAATTGCCCAAATCGAAAACGTGTATCCCACCGAGAGCAACGCTCCATTTTAAAGCCTAGTACTCATAACTGCGAAATTCGCTTTTTCTGACAATGCTTCGACAATTTGACGTTTGATACACGCATAAAACGTCAAATTGTCAAAAAGGTGCGAATTTCGCAGCTATGAGTACTAGGCTTAAGTCGAATATCTGAATCCGTTTCGGATCGCCTCTTGTCGATCAATCGGGAGCAGTTTTGGGGCAAAAGTCGAAAGCACTATAAGGTCGGCTGAGTTCGGCTTTACACTCTGTAAGCTTGAGCGTGCTCGAATGGATAAGATCCTGTTGGTTTTAGCTCTCAGAGTGTTCTCTTTTGCGTTGGGCTTATGCGCTTATGACCGCGTATAACCTAGTACTCACAACTGCGAAATTCGCTATTTTTTGACATCTTCGACAATTTGACGTTTTATGCGTGAATCAAACGTCAAATTGTCGAAGCAATGTCAAAAAAGGCGAATTTCGCAGTTATGAGTACTAGGCTTATGACGTCACGATATTCATGCTCCTACCGTTCCGCTTGTGGAGTGCAAAGCCGATCTCAGCCAAGTTATCTTTCTGCGTCTCTGTTTTTTCATGTGTTGAAGAGAGAGATAAAACATTTAAAACGTGCCACTTCACTTCAACTTGCGGAAGTCCAGCTGATTGTCATCATAATTAGTCTTGTCATTGGTTCATTCATAATAAAAATAAATGTTATTTTTATTTGAAATTGAGCATAATTTTCCGTATTTTTAGTTGAAACAGAAATGATTATTGTTACAAATATTATTAATAGTGCTACGTTTTAGTTAACTCAAGCTTAAACTGGAATATATTTGAAAAAATTGTTTTTTAAAAGATATACCTACATAACATACCATACCATACCCCTGGTGTTTGTGTGTGTTTGGTTAAATTAGTTTGACAACAACCCCAACAACGTCGCTGTAACCTGATAACGGAATTGGCTTGGTTTATCAACAATCAACATTAAAGTTACAATGGCAACAAACAGCTCGGAAACTGAAGAATCCACCACTAGTACAGCACCAAGAATTTTCCATATTTCTTCCAGTACTGATAGTCCTAACGTTCACAAATGTCCCCTGTGTGAAAAATTTAAAAAGTACTTTTACTGCAGAGATTGCATACAGAGTGGTCTAATAACTAACAAAAAAAACGAAAGGTAAGAACTTAATATTAGACATATTTGAAAATATTTATCACATCAATAAAATCTTTAACTTTTAGCCTCAGTAATATTCAAAAAGCTCTTGGAGAATTGGAGGAAAATAGGCGAAATGTTGAAAGGAAATGCTTAAAATCATTGGAAAATAGACAAAAATATGATATTTTGGTAAGTAAGTACTACCTACCAGACCTACCTACCACTTGAGTTGTTTTTTTTAATTTTTGTCACCTTTGAAAAGGTTGGAATTTGTTGTGAGAATTTGCAGATAAGAAAGGGGTTCATTAGTGCCACTCTCGCTTGGTGCCAATGTTACTGGTAATTTTGAGGTTGAACATTGAGCGGTTCCAGGTAGAAAATGGGGGTGCACTTTACGAATTTTTGTCAACGATTTCCCTTGTTCCACCTCCAGCGTTCTCAGCGCTGCATGCTGGAGCTGGAACAGGGAATATCGTTTTTGTTCTCTATTTAACCTTAGACTTTTCCTATACATTTCATTCCGAGTTTCATTCCATTGCATTAAAATTGGCCTGTAAGATGCTGACTTGCCAGACCTGTATAATATTAATATTCCTATACAACTATAAATTGCAGAGTGTATGTATACATATAGCACATAAAGTCTGTTTTTTTTTTAAATAATTCCCCAAGTCAAAAATTTAGTGACTATGTTGGCAACACAAGTCTAGCCTTTTCTACATAAAAAATTTGAAAGCATTGACAATTTTACATTGTATTGCCAACATAATGTCATTTAGACTTTTATCTTTAAAAAAAAAACAGACTTTAATACAATACCATGTCATCATACATTGTTATATCTAATAAAATTTGATAAAATAAAATAAAAATAAGAAATTAAATTAGGATTATTTTGGCCACAGCTATAGAAAGTAAGCATAGTATTCAATAATAGTACGTGATACATTGTTACACTAAACACGAGCTACAAACAGGGTACAGGGTATTTGATTATATTTGGCACCATACCTACAGCCTTTAGGTACTATTTAAGATAGAAAAAAAATTATAAATACAAAACTTGACAGTTTTTTTCTATATTTTCTTTTAACATAATTTTTTTTTCTTATTTATTCCAGTAAATTTTACAATGTTAAGTATACATTTTAAAACCTATAGAGGTAATCAAAGTTACCTATACATAGGACTGGATACACTTAACCTAACTTAGGAACTATAGACACATATAATGTGCCAAAATCAGTGACGCTTTAACCTTTCTCTGGCCCGTAGGTCAATTATTTGGTATGGCCTTTCACGAGTGATTGTTCTTTTTTATAGGGTTAAATAAAATCATTCAGACAATTTCAAGCTACTAACCTGGCAGAATATAAAGACAAAAAATGTTGCCAAGTAGTATTCGGTAAAATCAAAGAACTACAAAATGATGGAACAAGAATGGTCACAAATCATGCTATATGGTCGGAAATTTCTAAAAGAGATGGCATTGAGCTCCCAGCCTACCAATCACCACATATGGATGCTGGGGACTAAGTGTACTGATGGGTGCTTCGGAAGAACAGCTGCATGGCTTGGGATCAAATCCATTAGCGAGGAAAAGATGCATAAAGGGTTGCAACTCTGAGGAAAATTCGTACCACGTTGCCTGTGCATGTCCTATAAGCTCAACAACAACAAGGCACGACTTTGTGGTACACTGGACCCTTAAGACACTGCTCAAGTCCCTGGATGCTCCAGAAGAAGCTCAAAGAAACTTACAATTTGGCAAAGCAGCGCTAACAGGTTCCTGCTGTAGTCGTTGCCAGTTGCCACGTTCCCGTGCTGCGCTAATGACGCGACGGCGATTCAGCGCAGCTCTTCAGCGCAGCTCGATGACTCTAGGGCGTGTTCTGGATTGATGCTCGATGGAGCGAGCGGAGCGACTCCAGAGCATCGTGACGTCAGGCAGTGCACTCTGGCCAAACCAAATGTGCTTGTGCAGTGTGAATTATAAGAATTGAAGAGTATTTAAATATGTGCTAGTCCTGCTACTAAACAAGTCGATTTTTTAATATAGTGGGCTTTTATATTTTATATTATAAATTAAAGGCCAGCAGTTGGCCTTCATTCTCTAGTGGCCCATAGGACATGACCTAATTGTCCTAACGGATAAAATGTCCCTGGCCAAAATAATGCATACATAAATGCTATTCATGCAGGGGAGTATAATTTAATAAAAATCAATTAATAAGTGACTTACTACAATAACAATACACTTGCAACATTATACCTTACCCACTTTTTTATTTTTTTTTTTTGACTGTTTCATTATTGTACTTCAAAGTTTTGTATTTATTGGGAAGTTTATTGAAAGTCTTGATTGCAGTTAAGTAGCTACTTTTAGTGAATAAAGTTCGATTTATTTTTGGTAAGTTGATAGATTTGTTTCTTGTTATGCTTTCTATCAGAAAAAACAAAATCGCATCGGAAAATGGAGAAACGTAGACAACTTCGACTTTTTAAAATGGAACACCCTGTATATTTTGCGATAAAATGAATGAAATGAATGAAATATATACAGGGTGTCCCACAATCAGCGTTACAGGCCATAACTTTCTTATTTTTAGAAATAAAAATTTGAAAAAAAAAAAAAAATGGCTAATGGTTAGTTAAGCTCTCTTCAAAAATATTAAAAATCTTCCCCTGACAAAATCATCCCCTATTTACAGCCCTTCACTTTTTTTTCCAAATGGCACCCCTAATTTTTTTTTTTATTTTTGAGAAGTTCATGAAATTGCAAATTCAATGATGTATAAAAAGTTTGTTTTTCCATGTTTCGTTGGAAAAAAAATCAAAAATGAAAATAATAATAATAGGGTTCTATTTGAAAAAAAAGGCAAGAGTTGTTTTTAGTGGGTGAGTTTGTTAGGGACCATTTTTTTAATATTCTTGAAAAGTGGTTAATTTGCACACAATTAATTTTTTTTTGTCATATTTTTATTTTTGTAGACAAAAATGTGTTTGCCTGTATAAGACTAAGGGTGGGACACCCATTTTTTTTCCCCCAAGAGACATGGAAAAACAAACTTTTTATACACCATACAAATTTGTAATTTCATAAGCTTCTCAAAAATAAAAAAAAATAGTAGGGGTGCCATTTGAAAAAAAAAAGTCAAGGGTTGTAAATAGGGGATGATTTTTTCAAGGGATGATTTTTTTATATTTTTGAAGAGAGCTTGATTAGCCATTAATAATTTTTTTTGTTTAAAATTTTTATTTTTGAAAATAAGAAAGTTATGGCCTGTAACGTTGATTGTGGGACACCCTGTATATGTTGATCATATTTGCATGAGCCATTTTTGACATATCTCAGCTTAAATTATAACTAAATTGCAAAGAAATTTTATAAAGATAGAGATCCTTATGGAGCTTCTCTGCAAATCTCTATAATTTAACCTGAGATATGTCAAAAATGGCTCATGCAAATGTGATCAACATATATATATTTGTAATCAGGAAGAAAAGGTCTGTCATTTATCGCAAAATATACAGGGTGTTCCATTTAAAAAAGTCGAAGTTGTCTACGTTTATCCATTTTCCGATGCGATTTTGTTTTTTCTGATAATGTTAAAAGAAAATATAGAAAAGTTTTGTATTTACAATTTTTTTCTATCTTAAATAGTAAAGGCTGTAGGTATGGTGCCAAATATAATCAAATACCCTGTACATTTACAAATTCAGACATAAAGCACTCAATGATATCGGGTCTTCAAAAAAAAAACCTCGAAAAAAACCCATCAAAGAGTGCTTTGATAACAAAAACGTATGTCACATTAATGTTCCTTTAATGGTCAGGATTTTTGAAATGACATTTTGACATTAAAGTTCATTGACAAAATTGAAGGAAAATATTGCCAAGACATAAGTTTAAAAAACCATAGCAATCTTAGATTGTTTTTTTTTAACACACTTTTATTAGCTTCACCTGTATGTATGTTTGTAAGTAACTCTCCTTTGGACTAAAAGCAAGTGGCTTATTACTGTTAGTATATCCCTCTACCTTAAGTTCTTTCGTTGGCCGAGCGGTCTTCGCTGACGTCAACTCCCAGACTCACCGATCGTGGGTTCTAATCCCGTCCACGGCCGAAAAAAAATACTTGTTTTTTTTCAGTTGGAGATTTACACCACTACTTACAATAGTAAATCCCATAAATAAAAAAATATTTATATTAAAAAATCTGCGCCATGTTCATGTTCACAAGAACTTACAAATTTTTTTTTATAATTAATCGAACTAAAAAGTGAAAAATAAATATATGTAAGTAGTTTAAAAAAACTAAAAAACACGCTTTTATAGTAAATTGAACTAAAAAGTGAAAAATAATTTTTAATATAAACAGAAAATATTAATGAACAAAAAATATTAGAATTATTGTGAAAAAAGGGTGGGGTGCTTTGTTCCACATTTCTCGTACATTGAGCACCCCACGGTTTTTTCACAATAATTCTAATATTTTTTGTTCATTAATATTTTCTGTTTATATTAAAAATTATTTTTCACTTTTTAGTTCAATATACTATAAAAGCGTGTTTTTTAGTTTTTTTAAACTATATTTTGAAGACCCGATACCTTTCTAAGCATCTCCACAAGTCACACATCAAGCTATTATCGATTAATAACTTTTTCGGTGTCGATTTGAATATATTAAGTTTTTAGCTGCTTTTTACATCATTTGATATGTCTGGCTAGCCAAACGGCGAAGTGCAATAGAATTTGCTGCTTTGCCAAACTTGATGCTTGACAGAAACAATAATGCTAGTTTTAAACTGACAATTTCAATTGATTTTGTTTGCTAATTTATGTTGGCTTAACAATGGCTTAACTTCGCTTTGCACCGGATCAACTTGTTGACAACAAAAATAACAATAAAGAATTCTACCAACTCAACCAGAATAGGCTCGTTCAGCATATTTTTTTTATTACATATTCTAAAAGAGCGTATTGAGTTTAGCAGTTGTGCAAAATTTCATAATTTTCCGAGCCCTTGTTCATATTTAAATAAATTATCAAAAAGCTCCAAGTTTGGAAATTTCGAAACACGCGGTGACGTCACTGCATCTCTCAAGTTGGTCGTGTGACGGCCTTTAGCCCGTCTTGACTCGAGAGATGACGTCATACCATCTCTAAGCGATGAATTTCTGAGGCA